TGGCCACAGTTCACCGTTCCCGGCCAATGGGATCTGTGGGAAGGGGTGGCCAGCACGTCCTTGCGGCCCACGCCGCCTCCTGCTGCTCCCATTGGCCGGGAACGGTGAACTGTGGCCACTGGGAGCCGTGGGCAGCCGTGCAAATGTAAACAAACTGTCTGGCGGCCCACCAGCAGATTACTCTGATGGGCCGCAGGTTGCCCACCACTGGCCTAGAGGCTTCTTGCACTGCCCTAATTTATGCCCAGTTTTCTATGATTCCTGGGGCCATTCCTGAAGTTGGGAATAACTGGGGCTCTAAGTGCATGCCCCATTTCCTTCAGACATGTCAGGGGGTAGGGTAACATCACAGCTGCTAGAGCAGCTCCACGCCATCCAGGGATTTCCCTACAGATGTCTGGTTAAACCAGCTATACGCTGCCTGAGTGGGCCAAAGCAGCTGGCCTGGTCCACTGTTCAAGCTTTCTTTTGTGATTGTTAAACAAGTAATAAAGCAGGAAAGAAGCTGAGTTATATTATTTACACAGGAGTCCCCCACAAAAGGGTCATGGATGCCTTCATTTTGCTTAGCTACACCGTTGCCAATGCTCAGAAATCATCTGTAAGTGTAAACGTTCTTTTTAAATGCAGTCCAGAGCTTACGAACACTCAAACACTCATCACACCTTTCCAACTGTCAGACTGTTGGACATGTCACTGACCTACAGGTCAAAAATAACTGTGTGGTAACACTCTGAAGCCAAGCCTGTGTCTTCATGCATTGACACAATTTCACAATAGACTGAACTAACATCAGGATATTGCAGTGATCTAAAGCTTGCAATATGCATGGCAACAGGGCTAGGTTTAAGCACAGACAATAAAAGTAAAGGACTGAGGCACCACCCTTTTGTCTACCCTCACTAGATGATTATGCTTGACCTGATTCCTCTTTGCGGGGCTCTGGTAGTGGGACCAGAGGGAGAGGCCACTTCTGGCAGCTTGGGAAACCATAAATTCTGAGACCAACTCTATGGAGCTGAGTCTTATTGAAAATCTAAGGGTACATCTACACTACAGCGGGGAGTCGATTTAAGATACGCAAATTCAGCTACGTGAATAGCGTAGCTGAATTCGACATATTGCAGCCGACTTACCCCGTTGTGAGGACGGCGGCAAAATCGACTTCTGCCGCTTTCTGTCGGCGGCGCTTACTACCACCTCCGCTGGTGGAGTTAGAGCGCCGATTCGGGGATCGATTGTCG